ATTACACCCCCGTGTCTTTGACTGGCGGGTTTCAGGCGCTTGAGGGGCAGCGGGAGGGGCTGACGCACTTGATGCGAATAGTCAAGAAAGACCGCCAAGACCTGGAGGTGCGCTCGCAATTTGGCGTTTTCGAATTTCGCGTTATCACGGTCTCTGCCAGTTTTTCCTTGGCTTATTCCTCGGGGCAGAGGTGCCCTAATCTTGGTTGAGTCAGTGATCAATCTGGGAAACGGATTCAAAAATCATGCTCCAGGGTTGTAGATGTTGCCGTGTGTTGTTGTGCTTGAGTTTGAGGTTCGTCACATACAAGTATCGTATGTGGGCAACATCATATTGGCGGATCGTGGTTGAAATCTATCGTCAAGCCGGCAGCAAGCCTGTCGGAGTCTACTTAAGAGTGTCTACTCAAAGAGTATAGGCTTCGCAGCAGCAGCATGGAATCACTCGCTCTTTTAAGACAATACTTGGAACATCCCACTGAACCCGTCCGTTTGGCGTTGCAATGGTCGACGCTGTCTGCTGTTGCACATGTCCGACCAGATCATGAAGAAGTCGAGGGAGCTTCTCCTCACCCAGTGATGAGGGAGGCCGTTCGGTCCAAAATGTGTCGCGCCATGACTACCGCAGTGGACCAGCTCGGCTCTTTCGCGGGTGGTCTTGTTCAAGCAGAGTCGCGCACAAGTGCTACACGCTGAAATGCAGATTGTGCTCGATGCAGTGCGCTTCCAAGCGTGTACTTAATGAGACCCCAGGTTGTTGATTCGTTGTGGGAAAGTGTACAAGTATTTTTGGGAATTTGCGCGTTCACGACATGAGTTACTGTGATGAGGTTGGTAATGACGGAAGTCATGACCAGGGGTGAAAATACCGCGGTTTCAGATCGCAGGGCAAAATGTACCCTTGGGGTCTGCACCACGTTATGTCGGGTGTTCAACGCATTAGTGACTCGGAATGTAGCGCAAGGAGCGCTTGTGACAGCAGTGTTGCCCTCGTGGGTGGCTAGCTCTACATACTCACAGCAGGTCTCGTGTGGATAATTCCCAACTTGTCACAAGGCACACCGACCACTTCTGTTTGCCGTGCCATCATTGCAATGAGCCAAGCGAATAAAGTAAGAAAGAGGTCGCTGCTGCCGTAGTTCAAACCGGCGACCGCGCGCCTGCTTGAATGACGCAACATTAACGGCTGGTCAAGACTCATGTGGCCAGCGGCCATCGCTGCATGAATTTGACGAAAAATTTTGAGGTTCCAGCAAGGCTGGGCTGTTGTACTTGTTTCTCGGGATGCAATTCCCGCTCCCCATTCACACTAATAAGTGCCCTTCACTTACAACGGCAAGGAACACTGCTTAAATGGGAACAGGAACAAGCGCTTCCAAAATACAAACACAAGACGAGCCGTCGCCGTGACTTCTCCCCTCCGTGTGTCGTGACGCGACAGTAGGCAAGGCAAGCATCCAGTTCTACCAACCCCAACCAAGACCCCTTCGTTTCCAAGCCCTCCATTCCCCCGCCGGCTTCAAAGGAAGGAAAAAATCCAAAGACGCGTTACTGGCGGTTCGCCTCAAAGCAATCGCGAGGGTTCTAGCACTGAAGGTTGGAGCAGCGAGGTCCAGACCACGGTCCACATATCGCTTAGGCCTGGGTGGAACGCAACGGTCAAGGGCGGGAGAGCGAGAATGACCACGAGATTCCCAAGCGTGAATGCTCACGTCGAGGATACATTTAAGTGTGATGAGAACTTCATCAGAGAAGCTTTTACACCGACGAGATAGATATGCAGCCATGGAGAAATACCTACAACCGATGTGCAGCACGGCGATCCTCGCGAACAACCCGAGTCGCACACACCAGCTGCCAAATCATCAAATCGGTGCCCCACTATCCTCAAGCTCTTACGCTCAGGCACGGCTACACCGTAATGCCAACGGAACCGCCATTGTCCGTCCCTATCTGTATGGTTATATTTCACCAAACCACCACAAACTACCATCAAATAAAAAACCGCGCCGGGTACCGCACTGCGGAGGAATCGGGATTGGCTGCAAGGGTGTCTCCAATGACCCACCTGGGACGGGCGGTTTTTGGGGGCGGAGCCTCCCTCTTGGAAGCCGTTCTTGAAGCGGCGGGGGAGGGTCTTCATGCTCCTGGTTTGTTCATTACACGCAAATGTCGCCGTCGCAAACGACGAAACGGAACGGTGAGTGTCATCCCGAAAATATAGCGTACATGGAAGCAAGACAATTGAGCACTCCTGTAGGCAAAATACCCACCGCTTAACCGCAAGCAAGAGGGCGTGCCTGTTGACGTGAGGTGATGCTTGCACCAGCGGCTCAAGGTTTGCCATGCACCCTGCAGCGGAGAAACAGATGCCGCTCACGTTCTTTCCTGCGCGGTATGGAAGCTGCGCTACAAAACATCAACATGGACTCAAAATTCGAAAAAATTGACACCCACACGCGGCTACATGTGTTAAGAGCTTAACCACGAGCGCGCGTACCTCATGCGACCGGTGCCCTGAGTGCGGCGGCGCTTCGCCTTCTCGGACCAGTTGACTGCAACACACGAATTGGTTCAGCACAAACGAAGGAGCAGCAGCCCGGGCGAAACGAATAGGTACCAGGTGAGGGAAGCAACAGCGTGCCAGTAATGCGAAGCCGCGCGCAAGATGCTGGAGTTGCCTCAAGTCGAGACGGCGGCACCAACAGGACGACTTAACAGGTTAAAAACGCACTGCCATGGAGCAGGAGAACAAGCAACCACGAACCGGGAAAGCAGAGGGGACACAGTAAAGAGAACGCCTAATATTGCGCAACACACAGTAACAGCCTGGACGGGGGTAAACTCGAGTTTTCGCGCGCTGTTTCCTTGCAGGCATCAACCGTATCGCTGAACCAACAATGGAATCGTTGTTCGAAATGAGGATGAAAAAGCGGGTGCACCGCGTGCTTACGGGGCGTTCGGGGATGGGGGCCCCAATACGGATGATACAATGCAACAACATACTGGTACTCGACAAAAAACGTTCTTGGGCGCGATAAAAGCCTTCGAATAGGTCCGTCGTCAAGAAACGCTTGGCACTCTTGAGATAATTACTCCTTGAGTGCATGTGTCATATCTACGAGAGGATGATTCGAGAGCAACAATAATTCAATCCAGGCGCATCCCTCATTACTACCAATTCCCCAACCCGCAGCAGTAACGCCGTGAACCATAGGCCACCTGTGCGCCATGGCCCAACGACGGCCGAGGCCAAGAGGAACCCGCAAACGACCATGTACCGGACACATGCTACGGGGGCAGCAGAAATCAGGCACTCACAGCGGCGCATCTTGGCAGCGGGATATCCGCACGAAGAGCAGACCTTCTTCTGCTTGTGGAAGGAGGTGCGACCGCACCGCCGGCAGGCCGTGTGGGTCTTGTTATGCCTCTTACCAAACGAGGCCGTTCCCTTCGTCTGTTGGCAGGACGTACGGTAATGACACGGAGAAGAATAAGAGTTAGCTAGGTTGGTTGGGGGTGTTGACATGTGTGCCAGGACACGGAGCAAAAATTGTTAGGTTGTTTGGGGGTATTGACGTGTGCGCCAGGATACTTGGAGAATGTCGGCGAGGTAAACACAGCAGCAGCTCCGACTGCCAGGTTCTCAGTGACAGCGTTCATGTACATTTCTAAGACGAACGGTAACAGACACACTCCTAACCAAACGCACAGGTCTTCAGCATGCAAAAATAAAGGCCTCACCTGTCGTTTGCGCCTTGCTGCTGTAATGGTTCTATAAATACACAAGAAAGCGGCAAGACTTATGTGGAGCATGCCCCCGATTAGTCGCCGTGGGGTATGTATGCTGGTGCGAGTTTTTCGACTGCAACCGCAGTTACAGCAGAGGGCTTGCCGTTCGACCAGAATTATGCAAAGCACTTTGAGATGGGTATGCAACAACTGAGGTCGTGATATACAGGAAATGGGGTACGAGCGACAAGCTTGCTGCTCGCTCATAGGATGTGACAGTGAGGGCTAACAGCAAGACTTATGTTCATTATGCACAGAAAATGCAAGAGGATGGCGCTATGCCTGGATTGGACGTCGGAGTCCGATCCGTACTTATGTAATCGTTGGGCAACGCTTATTCAAGACAGCACGTGGCAACGAATCATATATGTACCGGTGTTCCCTTGTTTTTGTGAATGCACTGCATGAGAGCGCCAACGGTTGCTGCACACGCCGTGTGTGTGATACGGCAAAGTCTTTCGCTTGAGCCCCGGACAGGGAGGCACAGGGGAGGTAACGATTGAATTCTGCATTTCGCTTACAAGCTCAGGAATAACTCCCTGGCACAGGGGAGGTAACGATTGAACAGCCTTCTGCGTTTCGCTTACAAGCTCAGGAATAGCTTGCCTTGCCAATCTAATCCTAGACAATCTGGTACTGGAAGGCACACCAGGCGGTTCCAGCGCCACCCGCACCTCGCAGTTGGCTTTGTCCAAGCCACTCCTTCCCGTCAGGCAAGCGCCCGGTGGCAAGCATCCTCACTTGAGAGAGGAGCGTAACCGAGGTGAAATCTCACGCAACGCATAACTCCATCTAACAGAACATGATACATGAAAGAAACGAGCACAACCGATAGGCTTGCCTCACTAACGATAGCGCCTCTTACTGAGTACTTCGCTCTCTTCAGCGTCGTCTCCTTCCTCGTGGTGCCAAGATGGCGACACAGGAGAGCAACGTATCCTCTTTGTCAATCCAAAGGAACACACAAACTAAAGCTCTGGGCACGGGCAATCCCGGAGTCACCCCAACATCAAGAGTCGAATTGGCGCTCACCATGGTGATGGAGAGTTGAAGGCACGAAGACTGCTCCCTCCTATGACCTTGCCGTCACGACTGTTCACCTCCATCCACCGCCCTTCATCCAAGCTGTCGTATCATCCACGGCGCCCCTTCAACCCCCCCCCCTTAAAAAGCGCCCCAGAAACCCCCTGGCAATTGCGCCGCCAGCCGCCTCCCTGGCTTGGCCTCCACACAAAACCGACAGAGGACTTTCCAAGGTGTGTGTGCCTCTCTTCTTGCTCTGGTGCCCTTGGCTTGAGTGTATTGGTCATTAGGGTGGAGGTCATCGATCGATTACGGTGTTTTTTAGGGAATGTGGGACAAGAGAAAGGTCGCCCCATCGTTATTATGGACCACTTGGCGAGGGCACGGCGCCCGTGCGCACCCAACCAGTGCTTGTTGCGTGTCACAGGTTGGCTGCAGCAGTGTTTCGAGGGGTAACTACAACCGCCATGCTGGGCATATACTTACGTGTGTAGCAGGCTCGCGCATCCAGCTCCCATTGAGTTTGTCTTGGGATTCACTTCCCCTGGGTCTGTCGAGAGCACACATCCTCAGACCTGCGCGTTTCGTCACCACCAATGCTGTGGATGAGACCTCGCCTCCTTCAGCCCTCTCTTCTATTTAAACGACGCTGTGGCCTCGGTCTTTCTAATGTTGGAGTTGATTGGCCCTATTTCGAGAACCAGGGACAAAAGGTCCTCTGCAGCTCGTTTGGAGAACACACCCTGTACCCAAAGTCCGCATCGCCGTCGATATGTGTGTACGGTACACACATGTCGACATTCACCTCTCGCGGCCGTGTATTGCCGGGCAACACTATGAGCAGGTTCATACACAACCATGGTTGCCGAGGACGTCGAGATGAACGAGGAGGTGGCAGTGGAGGAGACCGCCTCTCCCGAGGTGGAGGTGAAGGAGATATCCGTCCTGGATGCTCTGAAGGAGGTGCTCAAGAAGGCCCTCATCTTCGACGGCCTCCGCCGCGGACTCCACGAGTGAGTTGGGCCGTCGCTCGCGATACAGCAATGCGTGTTCATCGCCGCCGTCGTTCATGTACCATTGCTCTGTACTCCGGTTGACCAAGGACTGCTTGTATTAGTAGCCAGTTTTATCTGGCTCTGATGCATTGCAGGACCAGCAACAGGAAACGGCATCACACACCAGGAACAGAATGCGTTGTTTTTGCGCAGCTGTGTACCATGGGTGACACAAGATACCACACCAGTGTGATGACAGTTTTGAAGGTCCAAAATTTATCACATGGGTGTGGTACACTCTGCAGGGGGTGTGATGTCTCGTGTGACCTGTGTGATAAACTGCCCTCAGGGGATTCCATCCCGCAGGGGGAGTGACAAAGGCATCCATGGAATGAACTGCGCCTACATGACCCCACCCGCGGAGGGGTGTGTGGTAACAAGGGGATGTGGGTGTGGAAATGTCACCCGTGGGAAGAAGTGCGCCCACACAACCCAACCGGCAGCGTGTGCGATACCGAGGGGTGTGATAATCATGGGGTTTGATAACGTTACACCTATCATGAAGTGCTCCCACAATATGTCTGGGTTGCGGGTGGTGCCAGGCACAGTAGGTGTTGTTGCGGGAGTGTCAGCAGTAGTAGGTTCTGCTACGCGGACCTCAACAGCACGGGCGGTGCCAGGCACAGTAGGTGTTGTTGGGGGGAATGTCAACAGTAGGTTCTGCTGCGCGAGCCTCCGCAGCTCGGGCGGTGCCAGGCACACCGGGTGCTGCGGGAGTCTCAGGCGCCACAGAAAAAATGACGTAATTGGGCGTGCCGCTGCCGCTGGGTCTGAGCCGCGATGCTTTGAGCAGTGTTGTGTGCTTCGTTCATCTCCGCGGTGTTGTCGGTCGCCATAGATGTAGTGCAGGGTTGCGGCGTGCGCTATGTGCGTGATCACGGCTTACCACACCGGTGTGATGGGAGGCTCCGTGATGAATGTTTGCGGCTCAACCTCGCCGGTGTGGTATCTTCTGTGACCGTGCGATAAATCGATGCTTTTTTTCCAGGACGCAAAAAATGATCGCAGGGGTGTGGTATCTTGTGTCATCTACCTTGTCTTGCTGATCCAAACAGCTTGTGCCTCTGACACTAGCATTTCTATACCCGATCATGTTTCCCGTTCACACGAGCAGAGGCCTTTCCTGGGCTGTTGTAGGCCGCCCAAACACTGCGTCCCCAAAGCTAAGTCCCGATGTTCCGCTGTGAGCGAATCGCGGCCGCTCGCGACCCTTTAGGGAGATCGTAACGCCTGCCCCCCTTCCTACGCCCATCAACGACGATGCAGATGCGCCAAGGCGCTTGACCGTGGCTCTGCCCGTTTGTGCTGCCTGGCCAAGGACTGCGACAACCCCGAGTACACGCAGCTCGTTCGCGCGCTCTGCGACGAAGGCAATGTGCACCTCATCATGGTGAGAGAGCGGGCTGGCGCGTCAACCTGCACACGTTTGAAGGTTTTGGTTTTGGTTTCATTTCGGCCAGAGCCGCCTTGTAAGGGTGTTGTCGTTGCTAGCGCGACCTAAGCGCGGCCCTCTTGTAGGCAATTCGTTCATTGACGGTCACGTTTTCTTGCAAATGATGATCAATATTTTCACTGTCGTGGTCGTTGTATTCCTGTCTCGTTGCTTCGTGTACTTAAGGTGGACACCCGCCAGGAGCTAGGACAGTGGGCCGGCCTGTGCAAGATCGGCGCCGAGGGGGAGGCCACCAAGATTGTGCCGTGCTCGTGCGCCGTGGTAAGTGACTTGAACAACACGGCGCTCGCCATGCAACGAACAGAGTGAATGAAGCTGGGTCGGGCCTGCATGAAACGCTGGGCACAGCAGCCAATTCCATGGTCGTGCTGTCTCACGTGATTCCTTTCTCAATGCGCGAGGTGCTTGAACTGGAGACTGGTCTTGAATGCGTCACGGCCAGCTTTTGTTTGCCTGCACTTGTTGAGGCGACCTGTAGGATGAAGGCCCCACGAGTCTACGGCCGATGGAATACCTTCCACTGCTTGCGTCGATGAGTAATGTACGTAATACCTCGAAATGACCTGTGATGTAGCATGAAGGCTCCACACGAGTCTGCGGCCCATGGAGGACCTGCCATTACTTGTGTCGATGAAAGTGTACGTACAGTAACACCTCGAAGAATAAGAGGACTGCCGGCCGAGCGAGGTTGGCGGTAACCGCAACCGGGAGGGGTCCTGTGTTCCGATTGAAGGGGCGAGTGCAAGCATGTATGTTTGCCGTGGCTGTCTTTCGTCCGCCAAGCGTTATTTTGCGCGCAACGGAGAAGCACAGTCTCCCTTTGCTGTCTAGGGTCTTCCTTGTTGGGGGAAAGTGGTCGAGGAGGACACGCTTTGGCCACACACACACCGCCTGTGATGAATCTTCAATTCTTGCCTTTCCCCCTCCCACCTGTGGCTTGGCCGTGCCTTGATCGTTTGCAGGTGACCGACTACGGAGAGCAGACCCAGGCCCTTGGCGTGCTCCTTGACCACCTCAAGAAGGGCGGAGACTAAATGCAGGGATTACATTTGAAAGAATGTAGTCGTTGCGGGATCCTGCGCCGGCAGTGAACAATGTGGGGATAGGGACGAGGGGAAGTGATTGTTGGTAGTGTTGCCTCGTTTCGTGGTTCTGACTCTTCTGCCTTCCGTGAATAGGTGGTTTCTCCTTGACTAAGCTTGGCATCCTGCCGTCCAAAGTTCTCACGAGCAAACGGCCGCATACGACGGCGAGCGTCTGTCTTTACTACGTTTGCTTGAATGGGAGATATGGCATTTCTCGTACCCGGAACACTTATTCCTCACCCGAATTTGCCAACGCTCGACTGTGGCGACAAGCAAAAACCAAGTCATGGCCCAACGTGGTGACGTCTTCAATGCGGGCCTCGATCAAGTGGGCACACGGTACCATCATCTCGAAACACCACTTGGTGACCATTGCATTTGCGTATGCCACACGGACACCGGTACACCGCTCTGACATTCGTGTGTCCAACCATGACAAATGGTGCAGGTCGAACTCTCTCGCCCATCGTTTCCGCCTGCCGGACTCAATAGGCGTGAGATTGTTGTCGAGTTGTTCCACCGAGATCACCGCGTATTAGCGTATTACGAAAAGCTCAGGATTTTCTTGCTACATTGCTTGCGAGTTCTGCAAGCACCACACATATTGATGCCCGCATTCATGGAATCGATCGAAGAGTTGTGGGCAAAAGCGCCGTCCTCAATGACAAATCAATCTACGAAACAACCTGTTTCGCGAAAAACATCCTCCAAACGATGATGCCCACAGAATGTGCACGTGGCAAGGGGGGTTTCGGAATGCCATTGCATCGTCATGTGTACCCTTCGCGGATTGGCAACGACTTCTAAGCACCCGTCAGTGCAGTCCATGGGCCACACCACCTGTGGCCTGGGAGCTCTTCGATCAGTTACACCAAGAGTACTTTCGCATACTTGAGCGCGGCCATGAGTCGCACCTTGATTGGGACAAACGGCACGCCGGCGATCGATAGGAAGGGACAATTTACGTAGTCTGGTCAAACCTATGAGAAAAATACCTGATGTACTTGGCGCCTGGGAATCATCATTGAAGCACGACGTTATTCAAGCAATACTGCCTATCCTACGCCGCCGGTAACATCCGTGAGGAAAGAAGATCTTTTTCTATGCGTTTGGCATTGGGATCTAGATGAGCTTGATTGATTCTTCATGCTTCGTTGTACGGGACACATATACTTAGCTCCTGCGTGTCATAACGAAAGTATAATAGAGCGAAAAACTGCAGATTGGACCTGGGATAGTTGAACGAAACGGCACGGCCAATTTGGCGGGGCAGGTTTTTTTTGGCATAAATGAAGGCGTTTTCGTACAGGGGAGGAGACAGTCTTGTCCCCGTCGAATTCGTTAAAGCAGTGCGGCGAGATGGTACCATTACATAGACCACACGTATGATCATCTCTCGTCACGAGCCATGAGAGGTACCATGCCTGATGAATGGGCCACGTGTCTTCACACTACAGTGGGCCTTGCGTGCGTGGCAGTTCCCCTACTGGTAGGAGGGGGGGGCAGCCTGCACGGGCAGAATGAAGGCCGCGATCACTACTATGATGGGCACCTTGTGAAGGATCTTCGCGTTCATGGAATATGCCTAGTCTATATGCATAGCATTGGGCAAGATCATCGTGCGTGTTGCTGACGACACGTCCTCATGCACGGGCAGGGAGCATGGCACCCGCCGCCTAATTGCACACCTGCAGGAAAAGTTCAACCCCTACGCCAACAACTTCCGAAAAGCTTGGTCTCGGCGGGTCCGCCTGCAATCTTGCTCGCCGGAAAGCGGCAGCAGCGAAGCGGGTAAGAAGGTCTGCTCTAGAAGCGCAAATGAGAGCGAGCAATAAACTTCTCCCTTCTCCCCTCGCTCCTCGACAAGCTTTTGCTTAGACATGGGTTGTAGTGAAGGGGGGGGTCTTTCTGGCGAGCAGGGCTAGACTCACCCTCAAGGGATGACCGAAACCTTCTTGCTGCTGCGCATAACCGCCGCGAGGCATGCGCGTGGTGGTGTAGTTGGGTCGGCACTGATGGGGTCAGGCGAAAAAATGTAGATGCGCGGGCCTCTGGCCGTCGGCGTAGGCAGCGATGCCCATCTCATTTTTTGTGCGCGGAGGCAGACACCGTCAGAAGGTGG